CCTTAGGGTCAAAAAGCAAAGTTCTCTGCTGCTTTCTCAAACATTCCTCCTCTGAATTTATAGGGCAGAATAACTTATTTTTCTTTAAGGTTTATGTCATCCTGTCCTCCTAGACAGTCCGTCCTGGACATTTCCTCTTCATTCCTTGAGAGCAATAATCTTTAATTCAATCTTCTTTTACACTTCAATTTCTGCCAGTATCTTTTGTGACTTCAATGTCCATGTGGATAACCTAACCACCAAGAACCTGGCCTCTCCTGACCAACTTACCCATCTCCAATGATTCTGCCTCCTATTCCTCTCAGATGCCCACTCTGGACCCTTGCCATCCACCGCATTAACTGAAAGCAGTCTTCTCTCTAGTCACATTCCCCTGTCATGCTGTACTTCTTCAACTCCTCCTCTCACATCTGTCCCTTGATATCCCTGGGATTTTCAGTCCACCAACCTTTCCTTTCCCTGCCTATCAGTCCCTTTCTCTCTTCTTCACTTCTCTCTTCAACTGAGATTTCATGATCCAAAATATAAATACATGTCTTAAAAATACTCAACATTTTTGCCTCTCTCTTCATCCCAGACATATCAAATAATGCCCATCTTCAATTAGCAACCCCATATTGTACCCTCCACCAATGATGACATCAATGGTGTCAGTATTTAAGCATGTTCATGTCTCTCCTAACCTCAAAAAATCTTTCCTAAAGCCCTACTTTCCAAAAACTGTCTCTTCTTCCTTCCTATTTTCATAGCCAAACTTGGTGTAAAGGTTGTCCACATGATTGCCACTCTAGTTTGGATTTTGCCCTCACTACCCCACCCAAATCTGTCCCTCTAAGGCTACCCATTACTGGCATATCCTGAATTCAATGAACAGTTTTCAATACTTAGATTATTGGTTCCATTAGAAGCATTTGACAAAGTTGATCAGTCCTTCCTTTATAACTGATTCTTGGCTTCTGTGATATTTTGCTATCTCTTTCTTCCTACCTTACCCTTCCTTTCTCCAGCCTTTAAGTCTTAGAGTTCCTGAGGATCTTCCTCACCCGAGACAAGCCCACCCACTCCCATGTCTACTTACTACAGATGCTATGCATTCACACAGAAATATAACATGGAACCAGACTTAATGGAACACAAACATCTGGGTGCCTGTTAAGTACATTTAGCATTCAATTTCATCACGTTTTCTGTAGGTCAGAAGGCCATATGGGCTCAGCTGGGTTCTCTGCTTAGGGTCTCTCAAGACTAAAATCAAAGTTTCAACTGGGCTGGGCTATTACCTGAAGGCTCTGGCCGAGAATCTACTTCTACGCTCCTTCAAGATGTTAGCTGAATGCAGTCCTTTGCAGTTGTAGGACCAAAGCCCGCATTTTCTAGCTAGTCACACTGTGTACACATCATGCTAACTAAATACTGTCTGTATAAGGAAGGGTTGTGTATGTTCGTGAGAGACAGAATGAAGTCTCATTATTAACGAATCATAAGAAAAAAATCTACATTACTATTAAGAAATCTAGTAAGTTGACTAAGAAATACAACTGGACTGAGGAAAGGAGGAAAGGCTATTCCAGGCAGCTGTTACACACAGGAATGCAGAGCCAAAAATGCAGGTGAAGAAGGTAACTGGAGTTCTACACTAGGGAAGAGTGCCATATGAATGCAGCCGAGTATATGATAAAAATAGCAATTGTAAGAGGGCTGTACCACGGTAGGAAGGGTAACTGATAACACTCTAGCTGTTGAGTATGGCTTAAGAGATCACTAAAACAAGTAACTAATAAACCCTACGGCTATTTCAACATTTATCAGTCAGGGTCCTATTTGAAAACCCTGGAAGCTAACTCGAAGTGGAATAGTAATTTACTAAAGGAATCGGGATGACTGGAGAACGGGCTTATGGGTAAACTTCTCAAAGGCAAAACCTAAAGCCGTCCTGCAGAACTGGCCTGGTGAGGAAATTTTGCTGCTGCCCCCACTGGACACTTCTGTGCCAAGGTCTCTCCTCTCCTACAGCTGTCACTGTCTAGCACCACCAATGCTGTTCCTGCACCAGCAAAGCTATTTCAGAATTTTTACTGACTCTGAGGATCCGATTCCTCCACCATCAGCCTCATGCAGACATGAGGTGAGCGCAGCACCCTCTTCTCTGTTCAGTCCGCACTGAGGTTTCCAGGAAGATAGTTCGTATTTTCTCAGTTAATAACGAGACTGCCCTAGCTATTGGTCAGACTGGGAAGTGAACTTTAGAGCTTACCCCGGTGGGGGCGGGGGGGGGGGGGGGAGGACTAGTAGCTGGGGCTTTCTCAGACATTAGGAGATGGTTGAAAAGACAGGGAAGAGTGAGAAAACATAATCAGTGTCCGAACAAAATGTCATATATTTAGCACACAAAACTCATCTAAAATCCACCCATTTCTGTTCTTACCTAACGCCTTTCCCAATATAAACTAGTAGAATTGGAATATCAGAGAGAGATGGACATTTGGTTTAATTCCCTCATTTTACTAATGAGAAACCTGATGCCTAAAGTGATTAGATCATTTATCCAAGGTTATAACCACAACTAGTGGAAAAAACTCATGTTTTTTTCAACCCTTTGTATATTTTCTATCATTCAGTGATCAAACTGTATCTTTATCTTAAAGTTCAACTTAAATCCTACCCTACGGAAAATTCAGGATTTAATTCTCAAAAAGTCTTTGGGTGATAGTGGTCACTTTTCTCTCAATGTACTGATTTGATCAGTTCCTGAAAAACTAGCTATAGAGCTAAATGTTACATTGTAGAATTCTATTTTTCTATTATTAGCCATGAAGGTAAACTATAACTAGGCTTCAAATATGTTTTGTTCCGAGTATATAAAATTTTTGGCTGGATTAAAACTGTCCCTTGCCAAAGGCTAATATTCTTGCAACAACAACAAGTAATTATTTAAAAGCTACAAGAATAAAGGTCTCATTATGAAAGAACTTCTCACTCATACATTACATTTTACAGAATTAAAGCTAAAATCACCCATGTAATCTATAATCACATGATTTCTCCTTATCAAAACTTAAGCAAAGGGAACATTAATACTGTAGCATACACAGAACACACACATTCTAGTAGTATTTTATTATGATAAGACAAGTGATAGACAAAATTATGAATCTTGACCTCACAAAACTGCGGTGTGAATTGTTTCTGGCACAGAATCTAAAAACAAGCAATGAGATTTTGAGAAGATAGAACAGGAAAGAAGGTAAGAGAGAAGAACAATTAAACACAGGCATTAAATTTGGAGAGCGTGGCAATGTAGAGAAGAAATTCTCCAAGAGCAGAAGATGGTTTTATTCAGATTTAAATGTTATGTCTTAGAAGCTGTTTGTCCAGCACTGTCTTCTTTTTGTGAACATGCCTCAGAAATTTATTGTACTGGTTGCCAGAAATACAGAATCTATGACCATAAGCTAATACATGTACTGTAGGTGTGTACAGAAATAATTAAGTTTGACCAGACATAAAACCATATCATTTTTTATAGCTTCATTTTCATTGTGAAATGAATATAATTAATACAGAACTGGGAATGGATAATTTGAAGTAAATAAACACAAAATACATACCTCGTGATGACACAGCCATTCTCTTTTAATTTAAATCAGGTACTTCTCTAAAAGAATGTATTTTCCACAGATTAACTAGTCATCACTCAGACCAAATCATGAAAATGTTTAAAATCCTATTAAGAATTGCAGACTATTCAAATTTTATTAAAAATATCTTTTTCCCTCTGAAGTATTGCCTGGACTTTCTTTTCTCTCTCCTCTGATAAACTGATAACTGTATTTTTAAAAAGGACACTTCCCCAAAATGGTAATTCTGCAATTTAAAATTATAACAAGTTATCAATAAAGGCTATTATCCTACAAACCAATAGGGATATACTATATTTACTATCACCATTTGGTTTTAAAAATGTTGAAATCATGTAGCTAAAATGGTATGGTGAAAAAAAAAAAAACCCATCTATTGTAAATGACTGTCCTGTAAGATCAAATGTTATCTGGTATAAATTCAGTGAGGCTCTGATCTTGGATTTGTGCTTACACCTTTAAAAGCTTAAAAACAACTCTAAAATATTATACTTTTACTTAAAAATATACATCCATTCTAAAATCTCCGTATTTGTATTATAAAAATGCTTTTAATTCAGTATAACCCAGAGAGGAATAAATGTAATTCATAATTTACATTTATAGCATATCACAGATTTTCTCATAATCTAAATAACTATGTGGCATAATGTATTTCCCCAGTTTAAAGAAGTTGTTCAGCTCTCCTGTGCTTTGCAATGTGGGAATTTAGTTAAAAATATGGAGAGAGAGAAAGAGACTTGTATGTGATCAGAACATGGAGGAAAAAAGAGAAAAGGGAGAGCAGCTCACAGACCAAACTTAAGTATTCTCCCAGATATACTGTAAAATCTTTGCTTAAAAAGGGTGCAGAGTATAACAAGGCCAGGTTTTCTTTTGAACCTTTAAAAATAAGTTCACAGGAGTTCTGGAAAGATAATCAGTCATGAGCTGGGCAGCGGTATATATTCTATAAAAGTAAATAATTTCTGCACTATATTAAGTAAGATACAGGGCTCGGTCTTGCTAGAGCCCTTCGTTTTAACCTGGAAAGAAAACAATAAATTCTACAAGGAGTTCACTTGATGTCATAGTTAATCATCTAATAAATATATAACCAAGGAACAAACGTGTAAGACACAGCACCAGACCCTGTGAAGGATAAAATACATAAAATGAATCACATATAATCTTCAAGGGCAACTTTTCCAGAAGGAGGAAAAACTATACCTACCTAGCCAGGGCTTAGAAATTTTGTAAAGGTATGACTATCACATGCAAAAAACTGAGAAAGTTGTTGGGTTGATCATGGCTTTTAAAAATTATATATATGTTACATAGCATGACGTAAACCGTCTTCAGGCTTTTTGATCAGATACTCACAGAATGATTGTAAGAAGGCTCCAATATCACAGGTAATGACATTTTCCCTTGAAGATTCAATTTTGTTAAATAAAAAATCTTTTCCCCCACAATCTTTTCTTTTTTCATGCGATGCACACCGTATAGTCTAAACCGAACTGCATAATTTCCAATCATCTCAGATTCAACGTGATTAAATTTGAATGTTTCTGTGAAGACAGGGCATGGTCCTCTCTGGATGCTGGTTTTTGCTCTCTGTTTCTTTATAGGTAGAAGAACAAGGTGTACTTGCCATGAGTTGCCACCTGTCCTGTTATGTGTTGGGATATCTGTGACAGCCGTCACTGTTACCAGAAGCTTCTGTTCTTGGGAGTCATAGTCAAAAGTCACATCCAGTGTGCCGTATTTAGCTTCTGGCTCAGGATCAAAAGGTTTAGGAAGCTGTGACGATGATCCTTGAGCTGACATATCCTGAGAAAAGCAAATTTAAATGTTTTCAGTTTTTAGCTCTATCATTTAATCTAGCATGTAAATAAACACCTGATATTTCTTTAGGGAGATGATGTGAAAACTGTCTTGATTTGCTGTCAGAAAGAAAGAGTAATTAACGGTCAACTACCATCAAAAGCGCCTCTACAGGGCCAGGGTGGGAAAAGTGGTAGGTTAAACTCACAAACTTACTGTAACAAAGACAAAGAATTTAGTATCCCCCATCACAATTTTGAGAAAGTTGGATATATGTCTTCATGATGAGAACTGAAAATATATACTTCAATGTGTATCTCTTTTTGTAGGAAACTACTATATTTTACTTCCGACATTATAAACAACACAACTGACAGCTCAGTATTAGGCTGGCGAGAGAGATAACATAAATACGAGTGTAATGCCATCGAAAAATTTGGTCCCATTTAAGTCTGTTCTAAAACGCCTCTATCTGTAATAGAATGTAAACACATACAGGCTTGGAAATCAATGGAAATGTGAAATATGAAAGGATAAATCCAAAGGCCTCAAAAATATTTGCAGCTGAACACTTATTTTCCGTAACACACACACACACACACACACTTTTTTACACTTTAACTTTTAATCTGAGTTTAAAACTATGTATGATTTCTTAATGTTAATTACTGCTGAAAATTGATGACTACACATTTCAAAAGTTCAAGAAAGACTGAAACTATACATTTTGATTATAAGTTTGAAAGAAATTATACCCAATTTACCCGGAGCTGTCTCAAATTCCTGCCAGTCTAACTCCCTGGAAGGTAACAGGAGTGTCGGCTAGTTACCAACAGCGCCAAACCCAGGTCTCTGACCTTTCAACTATAACCACTTTGCCCCTTCAGGTATTTTAATAAATCTTAAATGTTTTTTATTTTGAAATGTGGACAGATTTTGCAATTTTCTAACTGTTGCTGAGCTTGTTCTTAGTGCCTATGGTAGCAGTCACTAAACTATTAGTCCCAGTCTTCCCTTTTTGCATTTCTCATTAGACCTACCTGAGTTTTAGGCAGAAAAATACTGCCTGGCAAGAGCCTGTACTTCCATACTTGCCTTATGGCTGATACGCTCATGAGACTCAGCCTTGGTCAATGGGAGGCAAACAGAAGTTACGTCTGAAATGTCCAGATCAGGTTTACACAAGGCATTACTAGCCCTTCACTCTTTCTCAGTCTTCCCACAAGCAGACACGCGGGTAGGATGTGGCTCTGCCTGGACCAGGTGGACTAGGACAGTACTCTAGGGGACGGCAGAGTGACAAAACCCAACAATGGCATCAAAACCCTGGGTCCCTGAATGATGTTGTAGAGCAAAGCCACCTACTCACACTGAACCCTGGACTGTCGTTAAATGAAAGGCAATCTTTGGTGGTTTTTAGCCACCGTATTGGTCTCTTCTTAAAGCAGTTTAACACGTACCTATTATACTGTGTGCCAGGCCATAGTTTAGGTGGGGGGGGCGGTACAGTAGAGAACCAAAAATATTCAGGTCTTTTACCTTATAAATCTTACACGTCTACTTATGGTGACCGGCTTGGTACCATGTATGAAAAGAAAGATAACAAATGAAGAATACTTGGGGAGAGGCAACAAACTCTTAAAGAAGAATTCAGGTTTTTTTTAAATGGAATATGATGAAATCAGGGTAACGTATTCTTATTCTGTCAAAAAAACTGACAGCCTAGAGAAAAATGGTTTAATGTATGCCACTTCATAACTGGCAATCAAAGATGATTAATTACATGGCTTTGATTTTTCAATGAAATGTTTTCTAAAATAGTATCATAATAGCTAGGATTTTCAAGGAAGTAAAAAATTTCATAAGGTCCTAGAGAGGGTTAAAAGGGGGGAGCCTTACAGATAAAAACTACTATTTGTGTTCTGTAACAGACAACTAGAAAATAATTCTTCCTTTCAAGGTGTCTGAAATAAAGTTTTGAATCATTGTTAGCTAGCAACAGGTAGTCGACAGTCTGTGACCTCCTTACCAGGGAACTTTCCGGAACCCTCACTCCTATTTCAGTTCAGTCATTTATGTGGATGGGCTCTAACATAGCTATATCCTGGATAAACCAAGAAGAAAGTAAGAATTTTCTATTTGATAAATAATATCTATTAAAGGAACAGTAGGAAGCAAAATAAACTTGAAAAAACACAAGACTGGGCTTTGTACTAACAGGCTATAAAAGCACCTAGTTATTGATATAATCTGCATTTGCTGTACTGTTTGAATATATTCAATTCTGCTGTAGAGACACAAAACAAGCAGCATACAAGAGACTCATCAGTGTTAACAGAGAGCAAGCTGGCAACTTCTGAAATATGGGCAAAACTCAAAGGTTGTATTAACTATAAATAATGAATAAGGAAGTAACTTGAGAGACAGGCAAAATTCAGAAGATACAGTAACTACAGATATTAACTAAGTTAATAACTTGGAATATATGCCAAAGATAGACATAATAAACATATTATAGAACAAATGAGCACTACCTTGAGAAAGGGGTGTGAAGCCCACGCCATGATCACATCACCTCTAAGCTAACAGCTGTGTCACCCATGTGTTCCTTAAGCAGAAACGCAAATAAAAAGGCTAACTGGCAAGTTTCACTGATGACCAGGAGTACCTGTCCCTGCATCTCTCTCAGAAAACAAAGTTTTTGGCCCTTGGCACCCCTGTTCAAATCTTGACTCTTGGGGCACCTGGCTGGCTCAGCCAGTGGGGCATGTGACTCCCAATCTGGGTGGGGGTCGTGAGTACAAGCTCCGCGCTGGGTGTACAGATTTACCTAACAAAATCTCAACTCTTGCCCTTGTCATCACACCGTATAAAGGGAACACTGATGGGGCAGAAAGAATGACAGGGACATATGGGCAATACTTAAATCAAGGCTCACACGGTGTGTTCCTGCCACCTGTACCTCCTGGCTTCCTATTCTAAGTGTGTTAACACCTAGCTCATCTTGCTCCTCTTACTTCTTTATATTTGAAACAGATTAAAACACACACACGTACATGCACGCACACACACACACACACACACACGTAATCTAAGCATCTGAATTTGGTCCACAAGTCCTCCGAAATAGCTTGTCTGGTGGTGTACTGGGAGGGTACAGATGCATCGAAGTAATTTCCCACACAATGATTTAGGTCAAGAGGGGCAAAAGGATCTAGTCGGTAAGAGCCCTGTGTGCGGTCGGACCTGGGTTTGGATGATAGCGCCACCATCTGAGAGGCGCTTATGGGCGGGCAAACTGCTTCACTCTCTGAGTCTGAATGTTTTCGTTTGTAAAGTGGAAGTAACTTCCTGAAGATGAGATTACTAACATGGAATGTGCTGACTGTGAAGCTTATAGCAAAATCTCTGGCATAATCGTGGCCAGCCACTGTTGTTGTTAATTCCACGATCCAGGCTTGGCTGCCAGCTTGCCGGCCAGCTCTGGGGCAAGTAAGTCTATACAACAGTGGTCTCGACATGTTCAGGCACAGGGCACAGGGAAGGATTCTTGGGGAAGATCGTGGAATCCTGATGGATTAAACTTAAAATCCCAATGTGGAATTTTCTTCTAAGTTAGATACTATATTAGAACACTAGAAATAGTAGAAAAGTAGTAACAGATAAAATGTGTTTTTAGAAATTATATAAGAAAAACTTAAAATTAAGGGAATTCTGTTCATAGCTCTACTTCCATTATTTAGTTTTGGGTGGTAGATGAAAATTCACCCAGTAAGAACACTGACACACTATAGTATTGTGAAATGTTGTCTGGGACAAAAGTTGTAAAAACCTACAATCTGAAAGAAATAAATCCTAAAAGCACATACTACCTAATGGAAACCTTTAAATTACCTTTACCGTTTTCATCATAAAAGGAAGATTAAAACAAATCCTTTCTAGACATGGAGAGACTTCAAAAGTTCAACACACCTATTTTTATTGTTATATTCACATTTTTGCTTCAAAATAGGAAATAACTTAAAACACAAACGACTCTAAACACATGATGCCATGCATTCAAGTTTCATTAGTAAAGCTGAACATCACTTATCCCTTCCATATTCCACGATATGAAAATGCAAAATCATCATTTTTGAAAAACTATAAAACACGAATGAGCAATCTCCCCTATGTAAAAATATCCCAAATAAAATAATTTTAAAAATAAAAAGCACATAAATAGGAACCTCAAGATGAAAGAAACATTTAAGTAATTCCAGAATGTTTTGTATAAAATGTGAAAATAGAAAGACCTATCTTGAGGTTGAAACCTAGGGAAGATAATATGTTTCAGTATCTTGTGAACTGCTCTCATTTTTAGCTACCCATCTTCCTTTTGGAGAAAAGGGAGGGGGGTGGGTGGAGAAGGATTCGGACAGTCCTGGTAAGTCCGCCGGATAAAGAGGAGATCCAGGATAACACTGGTACGTAAGCCACAAAGGACAGGAGAGCGATAAAACCTTCTTACCGAGAGGAGAAGCACAGGGTTATCGTCCTCCAATAACATGCATGTAAAAAGCTCTAGGTGTTGTGTTACTTACTTCCGGGCTCAGGACTGCGGTGCTGTCGCTTGGAACATCTTCTTCATATCCTTTATTAGGAAAACTTTCTATTTCACGACCTATGCTTCCTTCACTTGGGCACTTGTTATATGAGCATCTTGGACTGTTGCTGCAGTGGGAAAATTCACATTTACTGTCCCCAATTTCTGAGGGCGTACATGAGAGATGGGGAGAACCACTGTCATCCTGATATGGTGGTGGCTGCAATTCATCCAGTGGGGGTGTTCTTCTCATTCTCTGAATGCAGTTTCCTGACAATGATTAAGAATCTGGTCACTGTTTCCAATTAGCCTCAACATGCAGTACAGTCCACAATTACTGTAAATAACTTTAAGAAAACTGGATCAAGAAATTTGTGGCAACATAACTAGTAGATTCACTTGCGAGTTTCCTTCTTCCCTAACGGAGAGACGCAGAAGTAAAATAGCCTGGTCTCCCACTCCTCTCCTCCTGCACAGTAAGATTAGGAAAAATAAAAGTCACATACGTGGAGAGATGCTGTTATAGACCACAAAGATGGGAGAGTGATAAATATTAGTGAACTAGCTTATTTATTTAGTTCTTTCTTTCACAACAATCCGGAAGCATACACATATTTTGCCTACTACCCTATGATGTGGGGCCTCTCTAGCCACACTAGGTACAAATACGGGAGGGACCACAAACATAAAAACCTCATTTATTTTCTTCAGCTAAGGGGATGGACTTAAACTAGCACTCAGCTCAGCCATGTCAGAAACTATTTCTCCACATCCACATGAGATCCAGAATCCTAAAATGAGGTGCACTGTGAACCCAGGCCTAATCCCCATTAACGAGCAGAAACCGAATGCTGCATTTCAGCCAGTCTCCATAATCACGTGGCTGCTCCCTGCCCCACTGTGGCTCTCCCTGCCCCACCCCTGCCGTGGCCCCCTGCCCCCAGTGCCGCTCCCTGCCCCCACTGTGTCTCTCTCCCCCTTCTAAAGTATATGGCTCCACCTTGTCTACAGCAGGCATCTCTACCTCCAGCAATGAATCTGAAACCACATTTTCTTGTAGTCTTAAATTATCCTTTTAATTTTTACCTCAATGATCTGTCTCAGGAGCTCAGAATAAATAGGTCTGTGAACAGGATAGAGGTGGGGGGAGGAGGGGGATGTAAAAAAATAGAGCTGAGTATACAATTTAAGAGTAGCTAAGTCTCTGTAGATAAATCCTGAATGCAATATCAGGTATTAAATTTAAATACTACTCGTTTTTTCTTTTAATGGACTGTGAATCTCCGTTCTTAAAAGGGGCCCTGAAAAAAGGTATTTTGTATTATAATTCTTATAATGGAGTTCAGTTCAAACGCTCAATAGGTCTTCTGTTCTTCCTAAGATAGTAAAACTTTACATAAGAAATACAAAGCTCATTTAAAAATTATCACAATGCCTGGTTCAATGAAAAATATTAATTTGCATGAACTTAGCACAAATTTACATATTTGCTCAGAAGCAAATTTTAGAAAAAGAAAACTAAACATCTTACCTAGTGAGTCTAACATACCAACTTTAGTTTATAAAACACAAGCAAAAAATAAAAAAGTTACGGAATTAACATACTTGAAGCTAAATTTGAGAAGGGAAGATAGATTAAATTGATACACTGCACTTAGCAGCAAATAAATATCCCAGATTTCAGAGAGGGGCTTCCAGGAAACCTTTGGTTTTCCTGATAAAAGCAGGCAGACTCAACTGGCAGGCACTTTTTGTCCCTTCTTTTTCTTCCTGCCTGGAGCTGCGGTAGCCATCTTATAACCATGAAGTATACAAGCATGACAATGAAAGCTAAGGAGAAGGAAGCAGAAAAACAGAGAGTATCTGGGTAACTGAAACATCACTAGGTAGCTATCGCCAAACTTTCTGAAGCCTAAGACAAATCCCTCTAGGTTAAAAAACATAACAAGAAAACAGTGACAGTTGGATTTTCTGTTTCCAAATATCTATTGATACTTCTAAAATTATTTAACCAATATCCCCCCTCATTAAAAATGTATATTTAATCAGCCATTGAATTATAAATTAAATGGTAATACCTAATATTTGCTGTAACAGGAAGTCAATTAAAAATTTCCCAATGTAGTGGTTTTAGGAGTCGGCATACATCTTTTCCTTTACCTTTATTTTTTTTAAAAGAGAGGTGATCTTTCCCAGATCTCAGACCTGATTGCCCAGCATATTATCTCACAGGTCACACTGGAGAGAACTGGGTACATATCTATTCCTCAAACCATCTCTTAAGGCGGGGAGGATGGGATCACCACAATTGACTTAGATTAATCAGTAGCCATCAAAGTGAAGCTGGGGATGGAGTCAGCTTCAATGTCCATATTTACATGAGAGAGAGTAGATGCCACTCACCAAGAAAAAAAGAGAAAGAACTTAAATGAATAAAATCAGGTATGAAGATAGAGACGTTACAACTGAAACCACAGATATAAAAGATCATACAAGATTATTATGAAAAAGTATATGACAACAAATTGGACAACCTAGAAGAAACATAAATTCCTAGAAACATACTAGCTACCAAGATTGAATCATGAAGAAATAGAAAATCTGAACAGACCAATAACTAGTAAGGAGATTAAACCAGTAATCAATAACCTCCCAACAAACAGATGTCCAGGGCCAGATGGCTTCACTGGTGAAGTCTACCAAAACTTAAAGAAGAATTAATACTAACTCATCTCAAACTCTTACAAAAAACAGGGCGCCTGGGTGGCTCAGTTGGTTAAGCGACTGCCTTCGGCTCAGGTCATGATCCTGGAGTCCCGGGATCAAGTCCCGCATCGGGCTCCCTGCTCGGCAGGGAGTCTGCTTCTCCCTCTGACCTTCCTCCCTCTCATGCTCTCTGTCTCTCATTCTCTCTGTCTCAAATAAATAAATAAAATCTTTAAAAAAAAAAAAAAAAACTCTTACAAAAAACAGAAGAGGAGGGAACACTTCCCAACTCATTTTACCACGTCAGCATTACCCTGATACCAAATCCAGACAAGGACACTACAAGAAAACTACAGGCCAATATTCCTAATAAATATAGATGCAAAAATTCTTAACAAAATATCAACAAAACAAATTCAACAATACATGAAAGGCATCACACAATATGATTAATTGGGATCTATTCCAGGGATTCAAGGGTGGTTAGACATCTGTAAATCAAGTGATGCAATACAACACATTAACAAAATAAAGGATAAACAACATATGATTATCACAATAGATGTAGAAAAAGCATTTGACAAAATTCAACATCCATTCGTGACAAAAACTCTCAAGAAACTGGGTAGAGAGAACGTTAATCAACATAATAAAGGCCATATACAACAAACCCACAGCTAACAGTATATTCAACAGTGAAAGCTTCTCCTCTAAGATAAAGAACAAGACAAGGATGCTGACTCTTACCACGTGGAAATCCTAGCCAGAGCAATTAAGCAAGAAAAGAAATAAAAGGCATCCAAATTGGAAAAGAAGTAAAACTGTCTCTATTTCCAGATGACATATTATATATAAAAAACCCTAAAGACTCCACTAAAAAACTGTTAGGACTAATAAATGAATTCAATGAAGTTGTAGGACACAAATCAATATAAAAAATCAGTTGCATTTCTATATACTAACAACAAACTATCAGGAAAGAAATTTTTTAAAATTCCATTTACAATTTGCATCAAAAAGAACAGAATACTTACGAATAAATTTAGTCAAGGAGATGAAAGATCTACCTGCACCATACACTAAGAACTGTAAGATATTGATGAAAGAAATTGTAAAAGACACAAAACAAATGCAAAGATATTTTATGCAAATGGATTGGCAGAAATACTATTGTTAAAATGTCCATATTACTCAAAGCACTCTACAGATTCAAAGTGAACTCCATAAAAATTCCACTGCCATTTATTCACAGAAAGAAAAAAACAGTTCTAAACTTTGTATGGAACCACAGAAGACTCCAAAAGCCAAAGCAATCTTGAAAAAGAAAAACAAAACTGGAGATATCATGCTTCCTGATTTCAAACTATATTAAAAACCTACAGTAGTCAAAAGAGTATGGCATTGGCATAAAAACAGATACACAGATCAACAGAATAGATAGCCCAGAAATAAACACATATATTGCCAATTAATTTATTACAAGAGCCAAGGATATACAATGGGGAGAGGAAAATCTCTTTAATAGATGGTGATGAGAAAATTGGACAGTCACATGCAAACTAATGAAACTGAATCACTTTCTTATAAACAAAAAACCAACTCAAAATGGAATAAAGACTTGACTATAAAGCTTGAAACTATAAATCTTAAGTGAAAACATAGGGAATAAGCTCCTTCACACTGGTCTTGATAATGCCAGAAGTAAAGGCAACAGAAGCAAAAATAAACAAGTGGGACTATATCAAAATAAAAAGCTTCTGCATAGAAAGCCATCAAAAAAATTATAGGCAATCTATGGAGTGGGAGAAAATATTTACAAATAATATATCCAATAAAGGGTTAATACTCAAAATATATAAATAACTCCTCCAACTTAACAGCAAAATAACAATCTGATTAAAAAATGGGCTGAGGAACTAAACACATTTTTTTCAAACAAGACATCCAAATGGCCAATAGGTATATGAAAAGGTGGTCAACATCACTAATCATCAGGGAAATGCAAATCAAAAGCATAATGAGATATTTCACACCTGTTAGAATGCCTAATATCAAAAAGACAATGGATAACAAATGCTGGCTAGGATGGGGAGAAAATGGAACCCTTGTACACTGTTGGTGGGAATGTAAACTGGTAAAACCAGTTTTAAAACAGTATGGAGATTCCTCAAAAAATTAAAAATAGAACTACCATATGATCGAGCAATTCTACTTCTGGGTATTTATCTGAAGAAAATGAAATCACTATCTCAAAAAGATACCTGCACCCCATGTTCACTGCAGTATTACTTACAATAGTCAAAACATGCAAACAACCTAAGTGTCCATCAATGGATGAATGGATAAAGAAAGACACACTGGACTGTTATTCATCCAAAAAAAGAAGAAAATCCTGAATCTGCGACAACACAGATGAACCCTGAGGGCAAGTGAAATAAGTCAGGAGAGAAAAATACTGTATGATGTTACTTATATGTAGAATCTACAAAATCTGAACTCACAGATACAGAGAACAGATCGGTCATTGCTAGAGGTGGGGATGGGGGGGTAGTGAATGAAATGTG